AACATAAAAATTTTTAACACAAAATTTTTTGACGTATTGACGCAAAATTTTTTACTGTGTAAATAAAATATGTTTATTTATTTATTTAGTTTTGTATATGTCAATGGAATAAAACAAAAAATTTCGACCAACTAAAAAAAATTTTTTTTACACACTTTAAACGCAAAACAATGAACAGAGTTTTATACACATAATCTCTCATCCATTAAAATTGGTCTTGATGTAATACTTATTAATGATAGTTATTAAATAAATTATCATGTAGATAATTTATTAACTGACAATATTGATAGAAATTATATTAATAAATGTTATTTTATAAAACATCAACCTTTAATGACGCAATACTTGTAAGAATAATTTTATCCACAGATTCGGTAGAATCTGGCGCCAAGTTCCGTTCAAATCCGTTGTCAACGGAGCGCCAGACTCCTTTGGTGTGCGTCATATTGTGTATTTCGATTTTTTTTAAGTCCTAGTAAATAGATTTTACGAGTTTAATTAAAAGTAAAATATTTCGCAACAACGCACATTAAATACGTTCCAAAATTGTTTTTTTAATTTTTAAATTTACAGCAAAATTCTTTTAATTTCCGAAAATCATAAACAATCATATCGGTTACTTGGATTTTTTAATTTTTTTATTTTATATCTTTTTGTAAAGAAAAAAACTAATTTTTTTTTCTTAATAGTCTTATGAACGTGGACTTGGCGCGATTTTTTTACAGTGAAACTGTTTTTGTTCGGATTATACTTTAACATTTTGGACATTTACATAACGAATATTACTGTTTGAAATATAGTATTTTCTTCCATGTAAAGAGTAAATTATAACGTTTAAATGGTAAATATTATAATGTGAATAGTAAAATCACGATTTTACTATTTGGAATGGTAATTTTTAGCAGTTGATCGTTACTTAGTATATATCGACTGTTATTTATTACAGTTTACTTTTTTCCGCGTATAACCTCAATAGAGTTTTGAAATAAATATTTCAGTTTAGTAATTTTAATTTTTATTTATTATAGAAAATTCTCTATATATTGTTCTCCATTTTAATGGAAAATTGTTTAAATACTCAAAAAAATACTTTTAATGTAAGGAATTTACCATAAACTTTAAAAATTTGTTATTTATCTCATGCTCAGGGTAGACATGGGTTTTGAGGTTGTAATTTTTCAAAAAATTTTACTCTAAAATATCCATTATTTGTACTATTTACTCTGCTACTATACATTACCATCTCCTTTTGACTACACTATCAGGTTTACTTTTACGTAATGATCTACCAAAATTGTTATAAAAAACGACAAAAAAGCTTATAGGCGATAACTAGGAAGACCATTAATTTGATCTTCTTAGATGACAATATAACTATATTTGGGTAATTATTTTATCTAAAATTGAATAAGGAGTACACAAGTGCAGTAGGTTTTAGTTTGTAGGAAAATTTTCTACTTAAAAATCTTAAAAACAAAAATATACTATGTGTCATTTCACAGATGCTTATTACTATCTATTTAAAATTAAAAATTACGTCAGAAATAAATAAGTGATGGAATTAAAGTTTTGCTTTGTGATTAAAATTTTAAAACAAAAAACATGCACAGTTTAAATTGTTAAAAGTTATTATCACTGTACGGACTTTTAAAAAGGGTATTCTTACAGATTGTTACCTATTAACAGCTTAATTTCGAAGCATCGTCATATCAATCGATGAACAATAATTTTCGTGTCCCTTTAATATTGCCGTTAATATAAATAACATATGTTGTTGAACGTGTACTTGGCTTGAGGCACTACGCGTGCCTCCGGATGTTCCGCCTTATTTACATTAGAAATATTTTTTACGTAAGCGAATACAAATAGTTTTTTTATTATATAATTCTACACCTAGCCACAAAAGTACTCCTAATACCTAAATAATTCTTGATCTTATTCATAAAAAATTGGTCGTAGAAATAAATAAATAAAATAATTACTTTGCTTATCTGATAAGATTTCTAACTGATAAGATTTTAAAGATATTTTAGTAATAAAAATACAAAATTGTTATTCACAAGCATTATACATCTTTAATGTTAATTATGCAAAATGATATGAAAAACAATGAAATCTTGGTTAAGTTAAGGTGGTTTAAGATTTTTTTCATGGCCCAAAAGTTACCTTGTGCTCCGTGAAGGAGTACTGCGGCTATTCCTAATGAGTTTCCACATCCCTGATTCTGTTTACTTGCTGCAGCGGCACCCATAACTTTTGAAAATATGGACGCTGCTGCCGGACTATTCGGCGGTGTGCCCTGGGACGCGTAGCCTATATTATCGATTATGGGAGGATAAATGACTTTATTAAATGAAAATAAAATAATAATGATCATCATAATTAAATTAGTAAGAGCTGATAATTTTATTTTAATTATTTTTTTACAAAAAAATTTTATTTTAATGAATTTATATTAATATTAATTCATAATTCAATAATAAATATTTAAAATTTTTAATAATTTATGAACAAAAAAATCTTAGTGAAAAATTTTTCATTATGTATTTAAAAAATAATTACTTGTGCTTAAAAAAGTAAACTTTACCTCGAAAAATTTACTTAAAAAACACTTACACTTAAATTTTGTTAATTTTGTTAATTACATAAAGTAGTAATTAAAATAATTAGTCATAGAAATGCAAAATTATTAAATTAAATAAAAATAATAAGTTGAACGGAAACAAAACTAATTAAGAATTTTTTGACATCAACTTAACATTTTGATAAAAATATTCCCTAGATAAATATTTGTTATAATATGAATTTTCAGGAATAAGTTGATTGCAAATTTCTTGTTCCGCAGTAACTGGTAATTCATTAATGAAAAAGACTTTAAGGTTACTGCTAATAATAGAAGAATGTCAAGTAAAAAAAGAATTGCTCGAAGAAAATTGATCGAAAATGTGATACGATGGTCTTACTTCAATACATGTATGTATAAAAACATAGAATGTTATGTACTTGGTTCTACGCTTGTAGATACACAAACGAAGAAATGCTCTACAAAAATAGAGTTATGACCGTGGCCTACCTTGTAAAATTTAACTACTCGTAAAACTGTTTGCATTATCCAATTTTCCAATTTAATCTACCAAAACAGCAATTATTTTTTATTTCCAAAATTTATTACATAAAAATATTTATTTATAAATAACAATGACGTGCAAACTCAAAACTCACTATTGTCTGACAGTTTAGACGTGCTCGGAGTACTTGAAGTCGCAATAGACATGATGAAGATGAAGTTTACACTTTGAGAAAAAATTATTAATTAAGAATAAAAATTTTACTCAATAAATATCCCGTTTAAATTAATGACTGATGACAAACTAATTGCATAACTGCATTTTGATAAAGTATAAATTCACATTATATCATTGTCATTAACTTAATAAATAAATATTCACAAAATAGTATTATTATATTATTTGACTGAATGGATGAACAAGTTCTTGAAACCGTCACGTTCCGTTTCGGAATACTAAAGGCCGGCCAGGTCAGGTAGGATATTTTTGCCAGTCTCTACTGCCTAAAGCTAAGATAGAGTTGAGTCTGGTTACAGATAGACACTAGTATTATATTTATCTCTCGCTCTTTCTCTTTTTAATTATCTTGATTCATCAATTCTTATTCATAATATTCTTGTTTATTTTCCTCTATATTCATAGATAATATTTTCGCACAAATAAACACACCCTAATAGTTGAGAAGAAAAATTGTGTGCAATTCAATGAAAATGATATGTTCTGAACAGTTAATTCAAATTTTTATATCAATTAATTACCATAAAAATATTTGAAACAACAGCTCAACTATTATGTGATATTTTTAAAACAGTTAGTTTTCCGTCATTAATTATTTTAATTTAATTTATTTATACTTTTAATACATATTTTCTATGTTAATTTTTATAGAATTATTTAAATTAATAACAAATAACACTGTTTTAAAGTTGAAAAATTTTTCTACAGAACACAAAATTTTTCGATGTTGTACGCCTAGATTTATTTTGGTACCAGCTTTATTGTTATTTTTGACTATTCTGCTGATAAGACCATCGACACACATTTTTTTTATTTTATTTTATACGCAAGGGTTATTATTAATATTAATTAGAAGTTTTTAATTAACAAGGCACACCGCTGATTATTATTAGGTTAATTTTTCAGAACATCGTGCAGACAATTTATGATTTTTTAAAAATTAACATTGCACTCAAGAACGGAGGGTTAAATCTCACCCTCCTTTAAAAATTAGATACTCGATAGTTAATTATATAAAAAGCTCCAAGAAAGTGTTAGACAATTATTTCAAGATTGACTAAAATTGTAGTAAGCTTACAAAAAGCTAATATTGAAAGCTATTAGATGAGAATGCTTTTATACGAAGCTCTTATCAACTAATTGGCAAATATAATTTCTTTTTCACTTTATTTTAATAGAAATATGTGATCAAATTCGTGTTGAAAAACTCACACACGCTCGTGGTTGTTATTTATTTTATTAAAAAGCTTTTTAAATCTAAGTCAATCCGAGCTTCGAGCATCGCTACGTAAAAAGCAGAAAAAAAATTCATTTTGTGGAAATAAATTAAATTATAAAAGTTAATCATTAATTAAAACAAATAATTTTTATACCAAGCGTTGAAACATTGAATAATTAACACTGTTTTATTATTAAAAACTTTTTTATGCATATTTTAATGAAAAATTTCATACAGGATGAATTAAATTGTTTCAACGTTTGATATTAAATTAATTCTGTAATTAAGTTTTAATAGTCTATTATAATTCACTGAAAAAACGTAAAACGTGTAACAAAATTATGCAAAAAAAAAAAAAAACAAACACCCATTAGGAAAAAAAAAAAAAAAAACATTCAGTGAGTTATGTTTGTCAAAATTAAAATTAAATGTTTAATTTATAAATATATGTAAATATGTTAGTGTTAGTCATGAATTTACATTGTCATAGTATCAGTATTATTGTAATTTTTTAATTTTGTGAATTGTTCAATATCTGGGTTACCTTCTGGTTCTTTGGCAATGACCGTGCTGCTCCGGTCGACACCTCCCTTCTTATCCTCTGTACAACATATACACATATACATCACGTACGCATATACAATACACGTTTTAACACTAACTTCTATCAACAACTAATATGCGATTCAATAATACTTTAACAAGTAATATATTTTTTTTATTTTCACAAAAAATTATTTCATTTTATTTGAATTTCTAATTATTAATATATATATATTATGTAAAAATGTAAGTTAATTCCAAAAGTTTATATTTATTGTTATTTATTATGATTATTAAAAAAAAATTTAATGGTTAATTTTAAAATGGATATTCTAGATGGCCATCAAATTGAAAATTATAAATTATAAGTAAAAGGAAAAATAGAGGATTATTACGAACAAACATGCAAGGCACAAGGGACACATGCGCTAAGCGGTTGGATGTGAACAATCAACTTTGTATTATTTACGTTGATGATACTTTAGATTTTCAGGTCTTAATCGACCCGTGAGGGTCAAAGTAACAATCATAAGGACTAACAAATAATTTATATGTTTTAATGGCGTTTATTGGCGTTATGATAACTTATGAATTTATCCAGACAGTTAAAACTCTCAATATCATATACGTTATTAACTAAACATGACTTATTCTGATTACGAACGTATTTGCTTCAGAACAACTCAAATTGAAGCAGTTTGCTGAAATTAACTTTGAAACTTTTCTATTCTGTGAATCTAAAAGTTTTTTTAGTTTACTTTAGAGAATTACTTCAAGTGTGTGTTGTTTTGGAACAAATACGTTTAAGTTAGTTCGATATGTCTAGTAGAAATTTTATAGTTTTTGGATTTTTTTATAACGCCAAATTATTAATTATACACATAATTACGCAATAAAAAATGTATTTATAGGTTATTTTCGATTTTTAATTACAATATGGCTGCTTAAAACTTTTTTATTAAAAAATTAGACTTTTTGAAAACTTTGCCTTAACATCTCACTCTTTGATTAACTCTTCATAAAATCTTTATCCGGGTTAATTATCGGATATTTGTAAACCATAAAGTTTGATAATTATGAGAGGGTTGGTTGAAGACAGAGAAGTTATCAAGTAGAGTTGATTTGGCGCAGATGTCTTGGAGAGAGTTTTTAGAGTGTTATCGAGCAAAGTTTTGAGTAGACTGTCATAATGCCGATATTTACTGGTCTATGGAGGATTTATTGGCAGTACGATACGCCGATTCAGAACTCGTCTACTTGATAACAATTATTTCTAAAAAATATCCGAAATATCTCTGCTTCAAATAAACTTTGCTTCACTTCATAACTTTTCAATCTTTGAAGAGGTTTATACAAAAACATCTTTAAAAAAAAGTCTAGTTACTTCATATAGAATCTTTCTTGATTAACTCTACTTCTTGTCTTTAAAACATGATTATTCTATATGAGATTTATAAATGGGGCATTCCATGCCAAATCGACCACTTTTGACACCGACCCTTTTCGATTTTTCTGAAATTTTGGTATTTTTCTCTACCCTATTGAAAACAATTTTCAGGATTTTTTCAAATTTTTTTACCCAACCAAAAAAAAGTTACGAGTTATTACAAAAAAACAGCTTTTTTTTTGTTAAATAACCATAACTTTTTTGAAAAATGACTTTTTGGGATGTTTTTTTTTTGAAATTTTTGTCTTTAAATGTACTTTAAAAAAAAAAAAATAAAAATAATAATTCAGATTCATATTCAATGTTTTTTTTAACTTTTTGGAAAAAAAAAACGAAAATTTCGGGATGATTGACATTTTTGATTTTCGATTTTTCTTTTTTAGAAAAAACTTCAGTATTTTTTGCAAATTCCCTAAAATTTTCAAAGTGGTAAACTTTTTCTTTCTATTTTTTTTCAGAGTGGTATAACGAAAAACAAACATTTAAAAAAAAATTTTTTTCTTCATTAAAAAAAAAAAGAAAGAAAAATTTTACCACTCTGAAAATTTCAGAGAATTTACAAAAAATACTGAAGTTTTTTATAAAAAAGAAAAATCGAAAATCAAAAATGTCAATCATCCCAAAATTTTCGTTCATGGAATGCCCCAAATATACTACAGTTAGAATAATTCAAATTCTATTTTTATAATACAACAGTAATGCAGATATTTAATATTCAAAATTTTTATTTTGTGATCAACAACTTTTCCAATAAAGAATTAAAGTTTTATTGCTGAGTGCTACACAATATACCATAAAAATAAATGATGAATTTAGTATTAAGTATTAAAGTTTAATGTCTAATGACAACTTTGATGCATTGTGGAAAATAATGGATTATTTACGACTTCAATAAAAATATTATTTAAAGGTATAATTGTGGTTTAAATATATTACAGATAAAGTTTGTAAAGTAGAGATGTTTTGAGTAAAGTTCTCAGAGAAGATTATCCAGATAAGATTTAAATAGTATTATCAAATGAATACTCGGAGAATGAGGATTTAATATTATGCATTATTACTTATAGCCATTATATAATTTCTGTGATGACTTCATTCATCGTTTTATTTTTATATTTTATGTGGATGAAATAATTAGTTCTAGGTGAACAAATACTAATTTTGTGAATTTTAATATTTTTCAGTACAGTACTAAACAGTATTTATTTGGGTGAGATAATTTTTATGCTCAAAAAATTTGAGTTGTGAAACAGTGCATTTTACTTTCGTTCAAAATATTTTTTTTTTTTTTTTTTTTTTTTTTTTTTATAGGTAACACATTTTAAATCGTTCTATGAGGTGGTTGTTAATTTTATCTTTCTTATCGAATAATTATCCGAGTGATTTAGCAGTGCATTTTTCTACAGACGGTGCACGTTGATTATAAAGTGTGAAGAAAATATACAGAGAGGAAGACAGATAAAGAAGATGATATATCAGTAAAAAACAAATAAAGAGTATTCATTAATTAATTTAAAAAAGAAATATGAAAAATGTATAACCTGATATAGAGACGTATCTGTTATAACGGTGGTAATTTTTTTTTTTTTTGTAATGTAAATTTTTGCTCAGTAAAATTTAAATAAATTCAACTGGGTCAGTCCATGTCAAATCGTCAAAATATTGAATTTAACAATTTTCAAGTATTACTGAAATGATATCCTTTTTTATGAAATGTATAGTCAATATAGTTTTTGTCCTTTTGAATATGTACTTAAACTTTTTAACCTTTAAATTGGATTTCTTTGGGTTCTGAATAGACTTCTGATTACGTATAGAAAAAAAAAATTTATTCAAGTCATGACTAAAAATATTTCAGACCAAAATTACTTATTTTTATATCATCTATTCGATATAATTTTATATTCAACCGCTTTTTTATTTTTGAATGTATTGAAATCGTTTGATTCTATAAAATTATATATACGACAGTTTTTTATTTTATTTGTTCAATTTTTGATAAATTTGACATAGAAGGACCAATATAAGAAAGTAATGTAGTTCACAATGATACCCGGGGCAAATGGAAAGTGTCTAAATATCTAACGATTAGACAACATTCTGAACAACTGACCCCGGGGAGTTATTTTGATTCACGTTCCCATGCAATACTTTTCTTTAAATTACTATTTAAATATTGTTAAATTAAGTGCATGATAAAAAAAAACGAAAGTGAATATTATTGTGTTTATGAAATTAATATTTATATAAAAAATTAATTTTGTTTAAATAATAATTTTCAATTTTTATATATTTTGAGTCGGTGTATATGTTATTAATAAAACCCCCGATTGTGTGTATTAATTTTATCTACTATGAAAAGCCAGTATTAAATAAAATTTCACGCACTAACTTTTAATTATAAATTTTTTATAATTTAAAATCATTCACTCTAATTTTTGCTTAGTAAATTATTAAAAACAGCGAAAATAGTAAATATTAATTAAGATAAAGAATTTACGTAAAAATTATTTAAATCGAATTATGTGCTTAAATATTAAAATATTAAAAATATAAAGCAATTAAAATTAATTAATTTATTAAGTGTTAGTAGAATTATCAAAGATATTAATTGAAGAAAATAAGCGATAAAGTTTTCATTATTTAAAACAATAATTCGAAGTGAAATTTTATATTTACTTATTATTTACGGATGATTTATCAACAAACAATTGTTAATTTTCGGTTAGTCAACAATTTTATAAAAAAGCAATAAAAAAATTATCATGTTTAAGCATTTAAGAAGCTAAATTCTGCATGTTAAACAATGTTAAGAAGGTATGAGATCAATGAGGAAGGTATGTGACATGATGAAATATTTTGCTGAATTAAATTGATTAGTGTTACGTGTTCACATGATAAACATAATAATAATAATAATTGATCAAACGACGTGAAAATAACAATGTGTCTTATATATCTACGAAAATGGATTGTGACCTAATTTAATCCCATTGAATGATTCATTTATTATTCTAATAGTGTTATGAATAATTTTTGCATATTACCCTAGAAAATTTCGTCTTTTTTTACAAACATTCTAATCCGATAAAACATTTTAACAATATGCAGAGTCAGGTAATATAAACTGTTAAAAAATCTCAAGTTTTCAATTACTATTGCGGTGAATTTAATAGAAAAAAAAACTTTGTTATGAATAACAGTAAAAATTTTAAAATTTTAAACAATATATTATTACACAAAAAAAAAATTTTCTTGAGCTAATTGCGAAAATTATAGTACGCTATTGAAAGGCAAAGGTAATCCGAGACATGTATTAATGCAGCAACGTGATTAAAAACGTCGTTGTAAAAATAAAAATTATCTTACAAAGGGATTATGTCAAAATTTTCCATGAAAAAGATACAAGATCTCTATTTACATAACGACGTTTCTAAACAGTCAGCTTGCAGTAATACGCGTCAGCGCATAAATTTTCCTAGTACCTCTGCATACTGTTAATAAACATTTAGACTTATATAACTATTAATGTTACGATTATTTTACGCTTCGATGGAATAAAAATAATCAATTAATTATAAAATTATCAACTGAATCAAGGGAGGCTAGAAGTACCTCAAGAAATAAAAAGTTTTGAAGATCAGAAGTGAAAATTATTTTCGATATTAAAGTCTAGTCAAAAGGGTAGAAAATGATTTTAAACTCTATGTTTGATCGTTAGATAGGAACATTTTAACTGATAAAAAGATGAACCATCTTAGACCGACTGTTTTAGTTGTAATGGCTTCTACACCGATTCTCTTTCTCTCTTCCTCATATTTAATTGTTACCTTCAATCTATCACTAATTAATTAAATAATTAAATAATATGCGATTAAATAGCTTATTAAATTATTGCGATGTGAGTAGGTAACGTTCTGTTTGATATTTCCATGGCAGAATAATTAATACAATATTATAAATTATAATTAATTAATTATTTGGTTCATAACAGAGGCTTTGATGGTCAGATATGTCAAGTTATTGGGATACCTCATTGTCTACTTCAATCATCGGTTTTAAATATCCCTTGTTACACATAATACAATGATATTCAATAGTCAGTATCACTATTAATTAATAATCAAATTATTATTAAAATATTTTATGTCACTCGTCGTACCTATATGAATTTGGCTTGGTTATTTAAAAGACCACACATATCTTTTCAAATATTCCAAATTCAAATTTGCCTACCAGTCATTTGCACACACAAATAATCAATCAACAATAAAAACTAAAGCTGTGAGGGAATTGTAGAAACATAAAAATATTTTTGCTCCGTTTTTCTTCATAGTTAATTTCTTTTTGTCCCAAGAAAAAGATTGCCGATAAAATAATTATACAAAAATAGTTATAGTATTTATTCAAAACAAATAAATAAAAATTATGTGAACTTTGATAGCATTTAGTGGAACCGGATTTTTTCTAAAGGATGTACTGCTACGATTAATTTAGTGATAACTGCACTTTTTGTGATCTATCATAAGATATTTATATCTTATGAAATAAACATTCGATACTACTTTACGATAACTCGTGGCGGATAGGCATAAAAAGTGGAAAAATAAAATATGGCGTCTAAATTCTAAAAAAAAATAAATCATTATAGACCGATTATTATTGTTACAATTAATATTATTAAGTGTAAGGTAGTTTTTTATCAATTTATATCTATAAAGGGACTACGTGGGAGCTCTATAACCTATTTCACTACATTTTCTCTAGATTATGGCGCATGAAGCATTGAGAAGTGGATGTTTATGGGTATTACGCAAGATTTTTTATTTATATAATAATTTTTTACTGTAAGGTGGTGTTGAATTTTTTTTTTTTTAATATCTACTCACATCTTCTAAAATATCATATTTATCGTTTATATTATCCAACTTTTTACTGTTTTGCTAATATAAATATCAAAAATATAGCTATTTTAATGCTAAAGAAAGGACCTTTGTAGTGTTAAATTATTTTATTGAATACGGTGAATTGTATTAATAACTGGAAGATAAATGAGTAAAGTACTTGTGAGTAAGAGTGATAAATATTTATAGATGAAACAAAAGTCCTTTCAGGTTTCTCAACAATTGTTTTGTTTAATAGCAGGATTAAAAGGCCAATGCGGGCAAGGAAATGGTTAGAAGAACAATTATAATGATTCTCATACCTTTGACGTCGTCATCTTCAATAGTAGTGCTGCTGTCGGTTGATTCCTTCACTTGAGACCCGTCGCCCTTCTTGGTAATGATACTTCGAGCTGGAGTACGCAAATGTATTCAATCAATAAAAAATGTAAAAGATCAACTTTTAAGGGTATTAATCACAAAATATGATATAGTAATAATTAATTATTATGTACGATTATTGAATTAAAATTGTTTTAATAAAGTGCAAAAAATTAAAAAAATTCTGAAATATAGCTTTTTATTTTGACTTATAATTAATGAAAAATTGCTAACAATTATTTAAATCAAGTTGATTTCAAAAGGATTTTTCGACCTCATACAAACTGGAAAAAAATTATTAAATAATTTACGCGTCAATGTTCTATAAACCAATTGAGGTAATTTTGCCTCGAGTTGTACTGGGAATGAATTATTTTTTTTTCTATATTGATTTTTTTTTTTTAACATTTCAAATAAAGAAATTTTTGATGAGATTTTATCAGTACAAATGATTTAATTTATAAAGATTATTTTGTTGTTTATTACTATCGGATAAAAAATTCTTAATTATTTTGTTATGTTACATTTTTTTTTTTAATTTAATTTTTATTTAGAGTTGGTTTTAACAGCTGTGGTCATATCGCCGTCTTTTAACTGTTAGGAGTGATACGTTGGAGTCTTTTAAGATTGTGAAAATTTTAACCGACGCGACAAGGGCCAAATTTTAACCAAGCTGGTTTCTAAGACCAACTTCGGATTCGAACCGACGCCCAGCCGATGAGTTAGTTCGAGTGCTCTATCGACCGTGCGCCTTTGACCACTCAGCTAACGTCGCCGGTTAATTTGTAACTTTGAAGCCACAAAATTGTAATTTTTTAACATTGTAAATTTTTTAATTAAGGGTATAATATTTTTGTTATAAGTCAAAATAAAAGTCCATTTCTTCACATCTATCGCAGTTTGTAAAACATCCTAAATAAATAATAAATCAATAGGTAATTGTTACAAAAGTGATTAATTCATTTTTTGAGATGCATTTTAAAACTAAAAAAAAATAAACAGTAATATAAAATCAAAGTCAGAAAAAATAAAAACAAAAGTAGTACTTATTTTCTATGTCACTATAAATAGTGAGAATAATAAAATGTCGAGTATAATTGATGGAATCGTAAGTAGATTGCACTAGTTATAGTCAGACGTAACGTTACAAATTTGTATGTAAGCAATATCTTTGAATTTATGTCAAGTGGAAATTTTAGTGCACTAAAATAATAACAATTTTCAACGAAACTGATATAGATTACAAGAACTATCTATAAATAATATTATTACTTTTTATTGTATGAATAATTATTGCCTTACAAAATAAATAATGGTTTATTTTTTTAACAATGGGTGAGCAAATATTTATGCAGTTAAAATAATAATTATAATTATTTCAAGGAAATCAAAATTTAATAAAGGGCAAAAATAATGCAAAAATTGCTTTTACGAAAATATGACGTGCAGTGAGGTAGTTGCATGCTTTGGATTTATATGTTTATTGTCATATGCTAAGATGCTGTTTTTTCATTTAATTTTCAATCGAATTATATTAAAGTGATCCTGCTTTTAATATTATGTAAGTAAATACACTGTAAATGCAAGTTTTATTTTATTTATAATATAAAATTAAAGTAATTAATAATGAATTGCGTTATTTTTAATTGATTTCATGAAAGTAACATTTATTAAGTTATTGAATTTTTTTTAAGTATTACTCGGATAATCAAGTAATTACTTCAGTTTTACTTATGAACGAAATATATTTATAATAATTAACGAAAAAAAAAAAACTAATTAAATTAAAAATGATTCATTTTGTAAAAAATTTAACGTCTACAAGTAAAGTTTCCAGATATTGTTGAGAATGAAGAACTATAGAAACTATTTGTTTCCAATATACCGCTTCCAATAATAATTTTATCTAAGTACTAAAAATAAACAATTTACATGGTAACTTGAACTAGAAAATTTCATAAAAAAATGTTATGTTTTTAGGTCAACAGCATTGTAAATTTAATTTCCATTCAAAAATTACGGGTTGCATTGTTACTACAGTTTTTAAATTGATTTATTGAGTTTAAAACTTTTGAGTGAGAATGAATTTAAATAACAAAAAAAATAGTTCACACATTGTTCATCGGTTAAATAAATTATAAATAAATAATCCAGCATTCATTACGGGAGTAGTCTAACTAGGGCAATCTTAATTACTCTAAGAACAAGTTGGATAACCCACTTTTTCTATGCTCTACTAATTTAACTCATTTTAGTATATGTAAATTGCGCTATATTACTTTAACTATAACTATCATTATTTTTCTGTAAATTTAGGTAACAATGCTAACTAAAAGCTTAATACCTATTGAAATGCTTAAGTCTAATTATTATTGTAATAAACAAAAGTTATATATATATAGAACAAAAATCAATATAATCAGCGTAAAACAAAAACTATAATAAAACTTGTATTTTGTAAAATTAAATAAAAAGAGCTTACAATCATGTTGACCTTAATATATATTCATTCTTTCAATTACATTTGATTGAATTATAATCCAATCAATTTTAAAATAGCAAAGATAATTAATTAATGATCATAAATTAATCCGATAAAATCACCTTGCTATAATATTAATTATTATATAAATATAAATATAATTGAGTGATTGTTGACAAATAAATCATTTGAGTTTATTTTTTTTTTTTTAATGAAAAAAACTTTCGTTAATCCTAATACAGCGCTGATTATATTTGGTTATATATTCTTCATTTAAAATAATGCAAGGGTAGAAAAAAAAAATTGCAATAAAATTGTGAATGATTAAGTTTTTATATTTTTAAATATTTACTAAAAATTGATGATAATTTTTGTAAAGTATTTAAATACATATTTTTATATATGACTAGAGAAAACTAAATCATGCTTCTACGAAAAATTTAATTTCTTACTAATTAGTTTTTCTAGCTTATTCTTCTAAAAACATTCGTACATTTTATGAAATATTTTCAACAAAAACTTCAATTTTATCAAAAATGCACATTTGTAATATCGTAGTGAAGCTCAATTTTTGCATTTATTAAAAAAAAGGTGATGATTAAATGTTGATCAATTAAAAAATATATAATCTTATAATTTTAGATTTTATTAGGTTTCAGTTAATATAAAATTCACCAAATCCACATTCATGTGTTCAAATCTCAATCCTAATACCACTGTGACATTTGTAAAGTTATAATAAGATGACACTTTAATATAATAAGCAAGTAATGTCACGGCAGCAAGAACAAAGAGAAGTAAATTTGAAATAGTTGATTAAAGTACAGAAATTTGTACTACTTCAATGTCAAACCGAGACTGAATTGCGTCATTATAGCTAGAGAGAAGGGTTTAGGTATTTGTTATCTAGTGATCCTCTTTACTATTCAAATTCACATACTCAACAACATTCATAATAAGCTGGTACTGAAAAGCAGACAATTAGTAATTATGCTTCAACTGTTGATATTCTGATGTTTTGAATAACATCAAGACATGGCAATTATTAAACTAATAACCTTCTTTAATGTAAATCAATGTTTAATTAACAAAAGAAGTTATTATCTGGTTCATTCAAAACCTCAAACATTCTAAAATTAAACCATAAAATGTTTCTCAATTGATCAATAATTTATCAATACCTACTTTTCTTATTAAATAGTCATAATTATAATAATTTCTGAGATTAATCATAAAAAATAATTTACAGTTGACAAGTCTCTGAAATTTATTATTTTAAATCAAATTTAATGAAGAAATTAATAAAAAAAAAAAGTTAAATTTACTATAAGTAATCTAAGTGAAATTGGATGTTCAATAATCAAAATTAAATATTTAAATACAACAAATTTACAATTATAAATTATAACTATGGATACAAAGCAAAAGCATAATAATTTGGACGTCAACGTCTCAGAAATTTGTCTATAGTGTCAATGAAAAAGTTTAAAGTGTATTAGAATGTTTAGAAATATTGAATAATAAATAGAGTATGCAAATGATAAAAATTTATTATGAAAATTCATATGAATTTACTATAAAGCAGATAAATGAAATATTATTAATAAATGAACAAAAAGCTATAAAACTTTAGTTGAGTATCTCCGACCCAATTCACGCTCAAGCTATAGAGAATAATGAAAAAGCAGGACTATGGTAATATTTGATGCTTAAAATTTTTAATGAGGATGAAGATGACTTTACGCCATTATCTTATTTTTTATGACTATGATTACGTAGATCTTAAGTTTATTAATGAAAAATATTCATGGATGTTCTACCTGAAAAAGACAATGTTTTTTGAACTAACACTCTTTAATATACATAAGGAAAAATAAATTCTTGTTCAATAAATTGTCTCATTGTACTTTGTAATTCAAGCGTCAAAGAATAAAAAAAAAAGACTAAATTTTCATTCTGAAATTTTATAAGCTCTATTATGTCTAAGAATGTCATAACAAACATACTTTGATAGAAAAGAAATACCAAAAAGAAAAAAATAAAATTATCAATTACTTGATTCTATTTTTTACATGTTAATGTTAGCAGCAATCAAGGTTAAATTAAATTTAGACTCAACAAATTTAAATTCCGATATGAATGCATTACAAATAGATAATTGACATTTTTCAAGTTCCCACCTTTGTTCACTTCAATCCAAAGGTTAACCTCACAGTGAAGTAGTAAAAAATAATGTTCATAAAATTGTAGGTTAGAACCTTTTAGAGCAGTATCATCTAAATATGTCTCAATATTTTTATACTATTTATCTATAAAAACGATAAAATAAAACTGCGATAAAGATAAAAGGATATAAAGAAATAAAAAAAAATATTCAATGAAAAATTCATAATTTTTATCTAGACTAAGTTTCGCATACTGCGAAATTAATTGAATGAACTGAAAGAACTTAATATGATTTGACCTAATCTTTAATTTTTTAAATTGAATTTGCTAGAAAATTGATTTCTTTTCCTTTAGCATTTAAAGTTTTATCAATTCAGAAATAAAGTAATAATTGTAATATTTAAATAAAATTTAATTTAACGTAGAGAGATAAATACAAAGATAATTTAATATGGATCGATGAAAAGAAGAGAGAAAGAGATTTTACGAAATAAAATAAAAGGTATATTGCAAGTATACGTTGTTATCAATAAACGACGTTTTCTCTTGAATTCAAGTTACGTTCATTATTCTACAACCCATGTAGATGAAGAGTTATTTAATTTCTTTTTCTTTATATTTTTCCCTACTGTGCGAAGTGTAACCGGTTATACTCCTTTTTCCCTTTTCTTATCAATCAAGCATGTAATATGATAATGGTTACTGTCACTGAGGATGTAATAAAAGCGAAAAAATTATAATTTAACGATCTGGTGGCAAAAAAAATGGCCTCGATAATTCCCGGTTAATTGCAAATCAACTGCGACCTTATCTTATTAAAATACAAGGATAATTATAACGTCATACTGAAGTTAATTCGATCGAACTACACTTTTATTGAAATATTGAACTATTTTTATCCGAGAAGACTACTTAAAATTTTTCTATTTTATGTACACGATATTTATAACTATATTCAAATTCAAATGTAAATAAATTATTTCAAAAAATCCGATACAACAAAGTTATTTATGCCAACCATACATATAGATACAAAACTATGTACATGTAAATTTATGTAGGATAACACACATATGTCGAGAATAATAGTAGAGTTATTAAACAAGAATGTGTGTAAACAAAAACAATAGTGAAGCACTATTTCTATAACAATAGTACTAATTTTATAGTTTCTGAGTAAAATATTAACACACCAGCTTCGAAAATTAAAGACCGATAACATGACATAAATATTCTGGTGTGTAGCATCAAGCAATCTCTAGATCAATGTAAAATACCGGCCAGTATACGGGCTATTGTCCAAAATATATGTCTATGCGAGTATTATTAATTTTACGTTAGAGATAAACTATTGTTAACAGATTTAACATTTTAAAAACACACACCTAGCTAATACCTATTAATTAAAACGAAAAATTTGGATAAACGTTATTAAAATAAGGACAGTGTAGTTTTGTTGTTCATTTAAGTTACAATATTTTTTCAATAGATATCTGTAGTTCTTCAAAATTTAACGAAATTATTATCCTACAATCATTTAGTTATATGCTGAATTTTATTGAATTTTAAACAGTTAAATTGACAGTACTATCGTACAGAAGGGGACTGATATATTAACATTATTGTAAAAATTTAAATACTATTTACAAATAGATAATGCAAACTTTCAATTCAAAGAAAATTATGTGATAGTAATAATAATTGAGTGCCAAAACTCTTATAATAATAATAAGAGTGCCAAAAGGGCGTGAAGTTCTGTTTGTGGTCACTTTACGTCCAAATCAATATATATCTCCCTCTAAATTAGATTTATATAATTGTAAATTTCAAGATTCTATAAATTAAATTTTATTGTATAATACGATTAAAAAATTTTTTTATACATTAAATTGAATTCAAAGTCACCAAAACCGATTCTGCTATTTTATAATATTTTTTTAATTGTCGAGTGCTTTTAAATAATGTTTCTGTCAAAATACGAATAATTATTTCTTCTGTTGTGTTAGTTAAGTTTCCTTTAAGATTTAAATGAAAATTTATCCCTTCAAATTTCTATCAACTAACTTGTATCTTTAAATATTTGTACCATTAATACAAATATAAAGAAAAATTCTGTACATTTTTCGAATCACTAAAATACTTTTTAAACTAAAACCTTTTGGGAAATACTTTTTACAGTTAAAGTAATAAATTTATCGACCCTGTCATGATTCAAATAAATAAATAATCATCAGATTATTCCGATAATGAAATTATAGCATGTTGATTAAAATTTGAATACTAATCAGCGCAACATTAATTTCCCTCGAGAAGTGATGTCGTTAATTAAAAAAAAACTTTTAAATAATGTTTCTTTTTGCTTTTAACATTCGTAACAGAAATGAAGTGATTAAAAATTAAAATATATCCATAGACGCTGTGCGACAACAATTATATGGTTTGGGATAAAAGTGCAATTAACGAGATGCAGTAGGAGGACAGTGTTAAAATAAACAATTTTAACAAGCACTGCATCATACTTTGCAATAAAGAGAATATATTAACGAATTAATAGATACCGTTATTGATACATATGTACTGATAAATATATAAGCTAATGTAACAAGTGACACCAAATTAATCGTACAAGTGACATATGTACATGAGTAAGAATTATTTTAATTAAATACTAAACATCAATAAGGAGTGAATGTGAGGACGTGTATGAGGTTGATATGCAACAAAAGAGGAAAGAATTAAATACAGGTTCACGAGCTCCATGTAGCGTTGAAGAGGGCCGGAGATACTCACCCTGTGCATCATACTTACTGGAAAAATTCCTCGTCGCAATCATTGTGGTTAAAATGGCACCCTGTTAACAAAACAAACAAACATTTAATAAAACAAATAAATATTTTTTTAAAATAACACGAAACATCAATAGTTACGGCAATATTAGCATTTTTATTGATATTAAAAATTGTTATTTTAAAAAGTTATCACGTTTAAAAAAAATCACTAAAATAAAAAAAAAGTATTTTAAATATCAACCTCTACCATTGTTTGTTGGCTATTAAATTCACATTTTTCTTCGACTGGCGCAATACCACTATCAATTTTACACTTACAGCAAAAATTAAATAAAAAACAACCGTTTTTACACAAACATGGGCTTAAACAAAAACGAGGAGAATTTATGGACATTTGCACTAAAAAAATATTTATATTTATTTATACAACAATAGCAACAAATCTAAAACAAATTTATATGTGTAATAAAAATATATCTTCGTACACTCAAGGCAAGTTGATAAGTTAGGTTTTAGTTTCAATAACAACACACCGAACACCGATCGGTTGACAATTCACCTTGTAATGCCGATAGTTTATCATAAATATGTATAGTATGCTAGACGACTGTGTAAATTGAATAATTTTTATAGTTATCGGAAGTTGAATCTACACTCGTAGTGTTTTACTACCAAATATGAGTATAAATTTATAACGTATATTATATACGCACGAAAATTTATTCAAATCCGGAGAGTTTATTTGCTGTAATATAAATATGTTATTAAATGTACCGATGTTTACTAACAATACCTTATTATGAATAAGTGTTATCATGTATCAAGCCGTTTCTAGATAATTTAGGTGAAGGCTTCATAATTGTTTAAACGATAGTATTAGCGCCGATATCTAGTTGTGCTTATAATAATTATTGATGGAATTTTACATCAAGGGTAAAATAATAAAGGGTATTTTATAATTAATTACAAACAAACTTTATGTAACTTGTCAATCAAGAGTATTTGAAAATCATTCATTTAAATTGGATTACACGATCTGAGTATTTATTAGATATTATAGTGTTGCATAACCGTAACATAGCCGATTTAATTAAATGAATCATTATTATTAATTACGTTTAATTCTATTAATTATAATTTATAAATCAATGCTTAAAGAATGAACTTACTTTTAATTTGCGCCTTGCATTGAATTTCTTCAAGCAATCCACAGTCTCTTGCCTGTGTACCACCGATGCAACACGCTCACGTTGCTGAAAAAGAGTAAATAAATTATTAAAAATTATGGTTGATCATGATGAAAAATTGGTAAATAAAAGCAATCGACAAATTGAAATACGTACACAAATCCATGGGTGTCTAAGTGCATCACTGGCAGTTATGCGTCTCGATGGGTTTACCGTTAACATCTGATTGATGAGGTTTCTCGCTTCGGGTGTTACAGTATCCCATTCCGGACTTGGATACTGAAAAATTCATTATCCAAACATAAATACAAATCTATGAACAGAGATAATCTCTCGAATAAACACTTAATCATTCAAACGGCCTAAATAGAAATTACCACCATTTACCAGTAAAATCATGAAATTTGAATTTGAGGAGCCATTTTTCATAGAAAAAATTTGAACTTACGTCATACGCTCCGGCTTTAATTTGTCCGTACAATCGATGCTGATCTTCATCCCAAAATGGAGGGTATCCAACAAGGAGGATGTAAAGAATAACTCCACATGCCCAAATATCTACAGGTTTACCATAAGGTTCTTTTTTAAGAACTTCTGGACTTAAGTAACCAGGCGTACCAGCAAAACCTTGTAAATCAAATTACATATTAAAATAAAGTTAATTAATTCACAAGAATAAATAATTTTTCATCTAAAACAGTCAAATTTTTTTTATGAAAATTCAAGATTGGGATGCCAAATTTCACTATTTGAAAATTATACCCTGTCAAGTCGATTATTTAAGTCAAATAAATTTCTAAAATTGGTCAAAAATATGCTTGTATTTTGGAAAAGAAAAAAATTTTTTTCCCAGGATCTGAAAAATTTTAATGAAGAGCATTGTAAAGTCGAGAAAAAAAAAAAAAAAAAAAAAAAAAAAACAGAGTTAGAACTAAATTATTGAATCCCAGATCAAAATAAAAAAACTTTATATTCGAATGTCGTACATTTTTTGTAAAATATTAATCGGATTATAGTTTACATACCATACCACGCCTGTGCGTCGCCCTGTAATTCAATGGCTAATCCAAAATCTGCTAATTTCACAGCTGCACCCTTCGCTTTACTAGCGAGGAGAAGGTTCTCGGGCTATTGTTGTTGTTATTAGGTTGAATGCAAGTTAGAGTATAATACAGTTAATAAAGTTTAAAACAAAACATTTTTTATTAAACTTTAACTATATTTTATTAGATAAAAAAATTACCTTGAGATCTCTGTGCACAATTCCATTGTGGTGGCAGTGATGGACGCTTTCTAGAATTTGCTGTATACAGTGGGAAGCATCGGCTTCACTGTAAAATTCTCGAGCGACAATATCTTCGAAAAGTTCACCGCCTGTTACTCTGAAATCGTATAAAGATTTCGTGGAGATTAACTCTTGAGCAAGATCACGTCAAGTTGACCCCCCATTTTTCACTTGATCATGAAAATTAAGTCTATATATTTTTTTTCTCAAGTAGTCATTATGAAAAATTAATCCACCAAACGATTTTTCAAAATTTTCATTTGAACAATTAATTTTTTTTACAATCAAAATTTTGAGTACTTTTAATTAAAAAATAGATTACAAATCAACCGTTAAAGATAAATTAATGAAATTTTCAGGATTTATTGTCAAATATCTATATTTTATAAAAATATTAATATTTAAAAATAATTTATTTATTATCCTATTGTTAATTAACTTATAAGTTAACAAATAAAAATTTAATTGATTTCTCGGTAAAAAAATGAAGTTATTTTTTAATGGTTATATGCGTTATTTATTAAAGTTTAAGATCCTGAAAGAAAATTTCAGGAAATTCTCGCGATTTGTTTAAACAATATGAATTTATTTATCACCGTGCACCTCGCGTCGGGCGCTCTCAATACATCGCGCGGCCGGGCGTCTCAAGTTATACTGCAGCTTCGGTCAGTTATAATTAAAAATAACAATTAGAAATATTATTATTATTATTAAACAAATTATTTTTTTAACAACATTATGAATAATATAATAAAATGATTTTTTATTATGAATATAAGACAGAAAAAATTAATAAAAAGTTTGGAAAATCCAAAAGTGCACGCCTCATAATCTCATTTTTCACAATAAAATTGATTAAAATAAAATATAAAAAGCAAAATAATAAAAAACAGAAAACTCTGCTATGGTTTAGTGGCGCCATAACTCTAAGGTGAGGAAAAAAAATACTATAATGAAATGTATAGATAGATATACAAAAAAATCCACAGTCATATATTAGTTTTTCATAAATAATAATTTAACGACAGTGAATTGAACGCTCATATTAATTAGGAAATTCCTTCATGTGTTACTTTAGATAATAAAAAAAAAATTATTCTGGTACGATAATTTTTTCGACCAATTTCCCTGCCCCATACACCCATCCATACACGGACGTCCAGAAAAAATTATGTTAAATGTTATTATTTATTATGTTAAACAAAAAAATTGTTATTGAAATATATCTTATGTGCCTGACAAATTATTCGACTTGATATAAGTGTACTCATATTAACCTATAAGTGCGATATAAATAACAAAAAATCAATTTTAGTTTCGAGAAAACTGCTTTTTTTGAAATGTCGAGAGTAGAGCACAACCTCAACGCTTCGCTTATAAGGCGTGCAATAATCAAATATAAATTCTACAAAACTGTGTAATCTATTTTTATTTTATTGTAATAATTTTTCACTTACAAATCGAAGACAAGGTAGTGGCAATGCTCTTCCTGAATACTTTCGTGTAATCTCACTGTAACAATAAAAATAATTAATGTTAAATTTTTTCAAATATAATTTTCTCATAAATATTTTAACTCAGTAAAAAAATTCATTTGAAATTTATTTTTTCTGTACAATTGATAATTGAATTTCTTTTAAATTTTATAATTAATTTTTGTGACCTAAGAATCAACTAATTCTAACAATTTTTTGTACCATGGATCTAATTTCTATTAAAAGTTTAATGAGTGATTGCAGTTCTGATGATAAACTATCTTTAATGAGTAAAGTTTACGCACATTGCATGTATTTTAAAAAGTCTATTATATGTTCGTATAACTTTTACAAACATAAAACTGAAATAAAATACTTGAATTTATATCAAAAGATTCTAATAATATGAAATTATTCCTCTTTCGCAATTTGAAAATCAAATATACTTTATACGTAAGTTTTATTAGATTTATGCTCTCTACACAATTGTAAATTGTAAATCATATATAAAGTACACAAGTTTCGTACAGGATGCAGATATGAATCCTATTTTATGTATAATTTAAGTGTACCCCATTTAGTTTACAAATCTTATGCAAATCAAATTCAAATGTATATGCTGCTAAAGTCATTTATAAAAGATTTGTATTGAAACAACTATTTTTAAGACATTGTGAAGAAAGGTATATTTTTGTTAAGAGTAAAAATATATGTTCATATAAAATATTATACGAATTATTATATGCTTAACTGTACTGCAACAAAACTGAATTTGAAACAATAGTTATGAAAAGTTTAATAAACAAGATAATTAAAGTTACGAATTTCTGCTTGTATTATAAATAATAATATTAGGGAATAAATGACATATACCTGTGAGAAAGTATGTCATCACCACTAGGTGCACAAAGGACTCGGGTTGTAGAATCTCATTTTCATTGTTGTTATAAACTAGCCATGTATGAAATTAAGTTTCAATTCATCATAAAATTTGGACACCGTCGTAAAAAGAATTCACCTAGTTATAATATAGCTCAAAGGTAGCTTTGAACAATTGAAATTACATTTAGAAAGTTGTCATTTAATCAACAGTGATTAAAGAGTCGAAAAATTTTTTTGTCTTTTTTTTTTCTCATTTCGCTCCAAAAAATCTGAGATATTTTTTTTTGCTTTAAATTTAAAAATAGCTACGATACCCGAAGCGATGAGTTTTGCCATTTTCTTCGAAAGCAGTGAAAAAATATTTTAAAACAAAAAAAATTTATTTCTATTCAAAAAACTGCCCACTTTACTGCAGATATCTCCATCTGCAAAAGTTTTAATTGAATAATATAACAAAAAAAAAATAATAAACAATTTTAATCTATTTATATTTCATATCAATTGAACAATTATTATATGAATTCTCTTTGATGTTTTCACTAATTGGAGTACGATCATTATTACTACTAATTGAAAAAATTTTCGTTTCATCATGAAGCGTTTGCAATATAAATAAAATCATTTAAGCTACCAATTATTAGTTGTTATCCATTATGTTTAAATTTTTATATAACAAACAATAATCCATTCTGAAGAGTATAAAATTATAAATAATTAATATTGATGTGATGATAATGTTTGATGATAAAATTTATAAATACAAATAGTAATCTTTGAAGAATTATTTCGCCCCGACATTGATTTATACCAAAAACTATCAACAAGAAAATCTTAAAAATTAAAAATGACAGTTTCATTCTCTTCAATTTTCAACACTATACAAAATAACAACGAATTGAAATGAATAAAGACAATATTATACAACATAATTTTCTACAGGTGGTGCAGGCATTAGAACATTTTCCTGAAAACAATTTTCGGTCTGTATTTGAAGAACTGTTTCCTTCAAATGCTAGGTGTGATACACCTACATTCATTAAATAAAAGTACATAACAGGATTCTTTAAAACTATTACCAGCTGGGCTGAGAAGTATCCTGATGTCATTTCAACGTCTTGCTACGTTAGTTTTAGGAACAAAAAGTTTAACGCAACCGTTAGAAAACGACATTACTGAGAACAACGATGGCGTCTACTCCGAAAGCACCGATACTACATTCAACTCAAGTTGGAGCATCGTATTTATCGATCCTCTCAGCCACACCTCGAAGTCATAGGGTAAAGCTACGCAATAATAAATCGATCCGTTATCATTATATTTTTTTTTTCTTTTTTTTACTACGTCACAAGAAAAGTTATAAATTATTTGCTTTTCTTGAAATGTATGGTTAGATTTTACTCAAATATTGTATTGAAATGCGAATCATTCTTAATAATTTATGTCAGTGTTAAAAATCGATATTTGACACTTATAATTGGTAACTTTCGAGCAAAAGTTCTAAGTAATTTAAATATGTATGGGAATAAAATTACAACCTCCTATTGTATTAATTTGTAGATTATATAATACTATGATAATTTGTAAATCAAAGTCGCCATTCTGTATAGGAACATTGTATAAAGTGACCCTGTTAATGGCGTTAAGCTGTTGGGTCTTATTATAATAAATAAATAAATAAATAAATAAATAAAAAGTATATGTCTGCATATTTAATTGCTTCGAAATTTATTTCTAACTTTCCGGTAAGAAAATTGAAAATTTTCAGAAATAAGGAAGTTATTAGTTTCACCCCGATTTTCGAAAATCGAGTTTTCATCAGATCTCCACATTTTAATATCCTAAAAAGCGATTCCGATCGTTTTCCCGAGGATGGCACTATGTCCGTATGTATGGATGTGAAGTTTTTTCAAATGTGGTCTTTTTAAAATAACATTTAAACGGCTTTACCGATCGCTTCCAAAAACTATTTAGTCCAGGAGAAATCGGCGCATGAGTACCGAAAACTATTCCACCTCAATTTTTTTATGCAATCCTCTTCAAATTGCCCTTCTGATGATATAAATGCATGTTGCCATGGGGCAACCCGGTGCCATATTGTTTAAACCAAAATTGTTTAAACAATTGCAAGGAATTGTTATTTTTCAACCGGACAAATTTTTTTTATATTCTTTGTTGAAATACCAATAAAAAAGGTCCTATAACTTTTTTCGATAAAGTTAATATTTTCAAAGATATGAATTTTTAAAGGTTCGAAAAATCTCAAATTTGGGTACTTTCGACCCATGAAAAATATATTAAAAAAAAAAATAATGTATAAGTAATATTTTTTTTAAAAATTTACACTATAGAAAAACCCAAAAAATTAAGATAAAATATTTCTAAAAATGAAATAAAATAAAGTTGTATAGAAAATAATTGAGAATTAAAGAAAAAAAAATTTTTATTTTAAAACTTGATTTAACTTAAATGTAACTACGCATTTTTTCCTAATTAACTTCAAAAAAAAGTTATTCTAAGCGCAGTATATCAACTTATTCATATCTTTATGCTGCGTTCCCACAAAAAAATAAATAGAAATCTAAACTATAATTCTATGAATTTATTTGATAATAGGATACTAGTATGAAAGAACAAATAAATCATAGTACAATATAGATACTTCAGGAGCTATTTTCATTAAAAAAAAATTCTGACCGATTTACATAAAATAAGTGAATTTTAACGTAACTAACTTTTTTGCAGGTCTTAAATAAATTTCTTGAATATTTGAAAGAATTCAAAAAATTAATAATTTAAAAATTATCCTGACGGATCTTTTAAATTTATTTTTACTCAGAGTTATGACACTTTACTCAATGTGCTTAAAAACTTGTATTATTCGTAATAACTAAAAAGAAAAAACATTTAAATAAACAATGACATAGAATAGCTAATTATGTGAGTAATTTTCAGCTATATTTGAGCTCATAATTTTTTAAAAAATGCCTATTAATAAATTATGAAATCTTTTAGTCAAGAATTATGGATTTTAACACTAATTTGTGCTCTCCGAACTCGAAAGTAGTGAGTAAATTTTTTTGTGGCCCTTTAAACTTAAATTCTAGTTCAAGTTGAAGTTTACCCAGAACTAATCAGTCCTATTTTAAATAGAAAATATTAACACTTTCAATTTTTAGTACAAAATCTGCTAAAATTGCAAAAAACTTAATAAACTTGAACGAGATTAATATCTTGAAAGATTTGAAAGAGTAAAATATTTTTTAAGCTTGTTCTTTGATTTCGATCCGATTTTGCGTCATTCAGCGTACTTTTTTATGGACAAAAGATAATATGATTGACAGAAAAGAAGTTACTCGCTCGATATTAAAAAAATCCCTGAAGAAAATCGTTAGGCCTGATCATTCACGAATATTTATCAGTTACAGAAAAAACACCGATGAGTAACTTTTTAGATTTTTTATGGCTAAAAATAGTCGATTACTTCAGTACTCTTACAGAATATACAGTAAGTATATTACCCGTCTAAATATAAGATAGGACATAGCTTGTCATCACGACAGCAACTGAAGAATCTATCAGGATTCAAGTCTCACAAAAAATTATTAAATACGGCAAACTAGATCTCAATTTGATTCGTTTTTTAATTGTTGTTAGAGGAATAGTACATTATTCACCGATAAAGGAAAGTGAAAGATTCTGCACACTCATTATTGTCAACCCAGTCAGAAAACAGTGTATACATTCAGCTGAGTGTATGTCCTAATACAAAAAGTCAAAATAGCTTTTTTTAGGTCACAAAACGCCATGATTTAATGGAAACTTTATTTTTTAAAATCGCGTTAGAATAATTCCATAAAACTTTATTATAGAATTATTACTGCCACAGATTATTTTTATTTTCAATACATTCTATATTTTAGAAAAATGTTTATAGACAAGAGAGAGTGTTAGGTGATACTCGACTGTTTAGTGCCAGCGCACGACTCAGTAATGTGCAGATAGCAGCCAGTAGTTTCTACATAGCGCCCTGTCCTAAACAATTTAGCAACATTTTGTTACAAAACACTACTGAGTACTGTACAAGTAGTAATTAGTGCTGTTTTTTTTTGTTCTAAAGAATAATAAACAATGAGATTTATGTATTTTCCCGAAATGAAAAT